TAGCTAGCCATCCAAAACAGTCCAGTGGCGCCTGAGTGGTGGGTGTTGCCTTTTGACACACTTCCGGTGATGCCAGGGGGTGTGGCATATGCAAATAAGTTATGCTAACAAGTTATGCTAATGAGCTCCTGCACCTCTTTTTCTACAAAATGACCCCTGCACACAGTGAAATCATTATTAGGATATCTGGTTTAATCTAGCAGAGTTTTACACAGCATCAAAGCGTGATACAGAGTGCAGTCAATAGATCTCCCGAGAAGTATACTGCAAGAAAGGTAAACTTACATTTATTCAAGTAGATCCTGTTCATATTCAGGTTGCAGTCAAAAGGAGAGAAAGAGGCCTAATCTAAAGAGTACTTTCCCTGCCACAAATGGCCAGCTTGTCTGGCATCATGTGTGTGGAAGTCTGAGGGCACTGGATCTACAGGAGAGACCGGCAGGGACATCTGTCTCCATGGAAAGCCATGTGGGAGAAGTGAGAGGACAAAGTAAGAAGGGGTTGAGGGCAGCTCCCAGGTTAAGACAAAGGGAGGCATCCCATTCAAGGAGATAACACCTGTACACTAATCTAGCAGAGTTTTACACAGCATCAAAGCGTGATACAGAGTGCAGTCAATAGATCTCCCGAGAAGTATACTGCAAGAAAGGTAAACTTACATTTATTCAAGTAGATCCTGTTCATATTCAGGTTGCAGTCAAAAGGAGAGAAAGAGGCCTAATCTAAAGAGTACTTTCCCTGCCACAAATGGCCAGCTTGTCTGGCATCATGTGTATGAGAGTCTGAGGGCACTGGATCTACAGGAGAGACCGGCAGGGACATCTGTCTCCATGGAAAGCCATGTGGGAGAAGTGAGAGGACAAAGTAAGAAGAAGGGGTTGAGGGCAGCTCCCAGGTTAAGACAAAGGGAGGCATCCCATTCAAGGAGATAACACCTGTACACCTTTAGAGTGATGTAGCACCCCTCAATGTCCAGCCATGCTGAGTTGGACCCTCCAACAATCATATTCCATTATTCCCCCCAAGATCTTTTGCTGTCTCACCCCTGTTCCCCACCATTCTCCCACATAATCTCTACTTTTGTTGTTGTTCAGTCGCACAGTCGAGTCCGACTCTTCGCGACCCCATGGACCAGATCACTCCAGGCCCTCCTGTCTTCCGCCGTCCTCCGAAGTTTGCTCAGTTTCATGTTCATTGCATCTATGACACTGTCTAACCCTCTCATCCTTTGCTGTCCCCATCTTCTTTGACCTTCAATCTTTCCCGATCTCTACTACCATTTCTTAAAATGCTGGGGGGATCTGATCTCGGACTTCATACCATCACATCCAGTCTCGCCGGAGCTATGTTTGAAGGGACCAGGGGTTCAAATTTCATCTCAGCTGCCAGCCAGCCCGAGGCAAACCGCTGCACTCCAATCCACATCTGCAATATGAGAATTATTATGCATTACACTGTTGTTGTAAAGATTACTGGAGGTGAACTGAACATGCCATCGATACACTAAATATTATTGTTGTAGGCTTGCCAATTATGGCTCGGGAAATTCCCGGATATTGGGCTGGTGGAGCTTGGGGAGGAGAGGGAACTCAGCTGGGATGTGATGCCATAGAAACTGAACATGCCATCGATACACTAAATATTATTGTTGTAGGCTTGCCAATTATGGCTCGGGAAATTCCCGGATATTGGGCTGGTGGAGCTTGGGGAGGAGAGGGAACTAAGCTGGGATGTGATGCCATAGAGTCCACCCTCTAAAGCAAGTGTGTCAAACATGCGGCCCAGGGGGTGGATCAGGCCCCCGGAGGGCCAATTCCATATGCATTCAGAAGACGTCCTTACTTACAGTCAATCAGGGTGAATAACTGGTGAAGTTCACATCTTTTGTAATCTAATTCAGTTCACTGGCTCATGGTGAAAAGGATTGTGCGTTCCCACCTCCTTGCCGTTTAAAGAGAACAAAGGGAAGAGAGCTGTAAACTCGAATCCTCGCGCCTCTGTGTGCCGGAAATGACTGTTAATCAGCCAGTCGCAGGGATGCTGTGGGATGTCTAACTAAAGACTTCAATTCCCAGGGACCACTGCTCTTAAAGATATATGGCAGTTCTACTTAACTACAGTTAAACGCTGGCTGGGGCAGCACAGCTTCTATCAGGTCCACAGTGGAACTGGCTGTCTTCTGCTGCTGCTTCCAGTTCTGCTGTTGCTGCATCATCGTAGGTTTGCAGCTTACAGATACACACCTGAACCACATACTCAAGATTAAGAACATCAGAGAAGCCAATGTTGGATCAGGCCAATGGCCCATCCAGTCCAACACTCTGTGTCACACAGTGGCCAAAAATACCAGGTGCCATCAGGAGGTCCACCGGTGGGGCCAGATCTCCAAAAGCCCTCCCACTCTTCCCCCACACACACACACCAGCACCAACAACACAGACATTTTGATGCAAAAATTCATAGAATCATA